GTGTTGGTGCGGGGCCGCCGGCCGCGAGGGCGGAAAGTAGTGGGCTCAGCGGCGCCCCGCTCGGGGGCGGCCGGCCCCGCACCCGCGGCCCCAATGACGAGGACGATGGATCTGATGAGGACCCGCCGCCGCCGCGCGGCGGCCGCTTCTCCGATCCCGGCGGCTACGACGTCCCGGCGGCGGCCGACGTGCCGCCGGTGTGCGAGGCGTGCCTGGGGGATGGGGACGCGGCGGCGGCGAGGGCGCTGGACGATCTGAGACCATCCATGAGGCCTCGCCTTGAAGACTCGGCCGGCTGGGCCGAGCCGGGGCCGTCCGCCGCCGGGGCGGCGCGGGAGGGGAGGGTTGCGCGAGAGGGCGCGGCCGCGGCCGCGGCGCCCGCGGGCGCGGGGGAGGAGCGGGCGCCGTTCGTGCGGGAGAAGTCGGGGCTGAAGGCGGCGGCGGCGCGGCTGTGGGAGGAGGCGGAGGCGCACAGGGACAGGGCGCGGCGGCTGCAGGTCTGGTGTCCCTAACGCCGTGTGCTTTTCTTTACGCGAGAGCCCGACATGAGTCCGCCGTTGTCCGTGCACAATCATGCTACACGCTTGTGTTTGGGTCTTGCTGCTGTAGACCATCAATTCATTGGGCCTCTCGTCCAGCAACTCTGATCGATATTCAATCCTATTACATCTGAACTATTTAGACAGTGCCCTTTTAAACATCCTGGTTCCAAGCCCCCCCGCCCCCCCGCCCCCCGTCCACTCTGGCGTAACCCCAGGAGGAGGGTGACGCGCTGGCCATCGCTGCGTCCGAAAAGGAGCGCGGGGAGATGCTGCGCGCAGAGAGGGAGAGGGACATGAACTCTGAGCTGGAGGTGGGTGGGTATGCCGTTTATATGTGGGATCATTTGTCGGCAGGATTGTGGAAGCACAGGAGGGTGGAATGTGCTGTCGCTCTGCAGTGCAGGAGGGTGAAAAACAGGCTGACGTTTCTTGGTGTGATTCCGTAGGGGTTGAGTGACTTGAGCGTATGTATGTGCGTGCGTGCATGCGCGCGCGCGCGCGCGCGTGTGTGTGTGTGTGTGTGTGTGTGTGCAAATGTCGGGCCTTGGTTGGGGGCTTTGGGCAGTGCCGCACGCAGCGGCGGGGACGACTTGTCAGTGCCAGCGGTGCCAGGCTGCTGGGCACGTGTGGGCTTTGGGTGTATGGCTGGCTGGGTTGCCGGATGGCAGGACACTTGAGTGGCTGGTTGGCTGGGTGGCTGGGTGGTTCGGTGGTCGGGTCACAGCTGTTGTTGCAAAGACCCAACCAGCCGGGGCGTCCGCCCCCCTGACTGACTGCCGGATAGCGCAAAGCGAGGCAGGCAGCTTGCCCTCGTTGGCGCCAAAGGCGGCGAGGCGTCACTTCGCTGCCGCAGCAGCAATTCACCATCAGTGCACAGAGGGGCTGTTGGACCCAACAGAAAGGCCAACAGCCCCTCGGCGCACGCCGCGCATCACGCTGCGCGCGCTGCACCTCGCGTGCTGCCTCTATAGTAAGAGCCTGCCGGCCCAGCCCTGCTGCAGCCACCTCACCTTTTGATCGGCCAGTCAACTGTACGATCCCGGTGGTGCCGATGCACGGACGGCCCATGTGGGTGACGTTCCTACCTCCTTGGTCGGTTGCACACAAATCTGCCTCAACGCACTCCAGTGCACACCTGTCTTACCCAATTTTTGAATACAACCCTACCTTCTTTCTAGCTGCTGATCCACAACCCTCACCACCATTGTTCACCCAGCCCCCCAACCACACGGGGGCACGCGCCGCCCCCCCCCAAAGAAACAGCCACTGCCAACCCCATCATCGGCACATAAGACTCTCACCCGTTCCACCCACCCAAAAACGCCAACGCACACGACACCATCCACTGCCCTGCGTCACCCCCAGGCCGCCCAGGGCCGCGGCGCTGAGCTGGAGGCCGACAGGCTGCAGGCGCTGTCCCTCGCGCAGGGCCTGGAGGCGGAGGGCGCGGCGCTCAGGGGGCGCCGCGACGAGGCGGCGCGCGCGTTCGAGCAAGGTGCGTACTGTGCGCGGCGGGGCTCGGCTCGCGTGTTGGGACGATGGGGAGGTGCCATCGCACAGCGTGCCGCCTGGCTGGCGTGCTTTGATGGGAGGTCCTGCACGAATCATTGTCCGTCGTGCCCTGCGGTTGCCCCCCGTTGCGGCGATGTGATTAGTCGGTAGGGTGATCCGCGCAGGGTGCAGTTTGGCGGCGGTGGCAGGGCCCCGGGTGCGTGTTGCGGCAGCGGAAGTGGCGCTGACAGCTTTTGCAGGACAAGACCCAATCAAGACGCCGGCAAGTCACAATGTCCTAAGCGTCTGGCACCCCTGATGCCCTCCATCTCCAGGGGAAGCGAGCGGCCCCCTTGAAATAAAGTCTTGAGGCGCCACCCCGTCGGCGTGCCCTCACTTCTCCCGTCATTGCCCGCACCCCTCGCAGCCGAGGCGGAGCTATTCAAGCTGCGGCGCGAAGAGCAGGCCGCGGCTGCCCGCGCCGGGGAGCTGGGGCCGCCGGCCGACATGGCCAGGGGCAACAGAGAGGCTGCCAGGGTGGGCGGATGGTGCTGCTTCGTAGCGGGGCCGGGTTGAAAGTTGTTGACACTGCGGTTGACCAGTGTTTGATGGTACGCGGGTGGGCTGGGCTGGGCGGCAGATTTCGGGGAATTCAGGGTCATTTTTCGGGAGGTCAGAGTCGCTCAGTGGCGCAGTCCTGGGGCGCCAAGCGCTTACATCTATGGCGCGTGCGTGTTTTGTGGGGAGGGGTCGTGTGGGGTGGCGTGCGTCTGAGTTGTCTCTGCCTGTTTCCGTCCTGATTTGGTTCGGCACCCAACTGGGCGCCATTAATCAGCACAGAGCTGCTAGTGGAATAAAGACGGGCCTGCGACTGTTGCATGCGCAGAGGTGGCGATTGCAAACGCTTCTGCAGGGCGGACGTGCCCGGCTGGGGACGAGGCGCCGGCTGGGGCTTTGAGTGACAAGATTTTTGGCCGCCGGGCGCCGTCCTTACTTACTTGCATTCTGCAGCGATGCGTTCATCACTTGATGGCGGAGCAGAGGCCGCCTGCCCGCTGCAGCCGCACTATCCAATCGGTTTCAAGCTGCGCTCGATCGTCCAGAGACGCGTGTGCCGGCACCAAGTACTGTCGCTGCTTTGCGTTCCTCAGGCTTGCGCGTTGCGCAAAGCGGCGACCCGCTTTTGGTGTCATGACTCAGCCTGGAGTGCTTATGTCGACCTGACAATGACTGCACTGCGGCGTGACGCACGGCACTCATCTACTTACTGCACAGTCCCATGAGCCTGGATGGCTCCAGGAGCGGGCGACCGCGGGACGCTGTAACAATCCTAATCCTGATCCTAATCCTCCTTGCTAGTTGCATCCAGATACCTCATTCTCCTCATTCCGCCGAGCCCCGTTGCCCCCAGCCGCACACCCTGCGTCTGGACATCGACCGCCCCTTGGGCCGTGCTGTGCCCCCCAAGCGCCCTGTCCACCAACAGTGGTCTCTACCAAAGACAACCTCACCAAAACCCTACCCAAAACCTCACCCAACACCCCACCAACAACCCCACTAACAACCCAACCCACCACCCCATCTATAACCCCACCAACACCCCGATCAACCACAGGAGCGCCTGGCGTCGCTGCGCGCCGCGGTGGCTGAGCTTGAGGGGCGGCTGGCTGACCTGCGGGCGCAGATGGTGGACGCGGAGCGGAGGAGGGACGAGGCCACCGCCGCCATAGAGGGGGCGCGGCTGCAGGAAGCCGAGGGTAGGCTGGGATTGGTTTGGTGTCGTGTTTTGCGGGGTGGGCCAGGGCTGGGCTGACGATGGAGGCAGGGGATCGGGGGTCACTCTGGGCACAATTTCACCCCATGGACCCTGCCAGCCCAATGGAAGCTGCCCAACGACCACCTGGGGCCGCGGCTAGCCCCCCATTGACCTGGGGTGCACAGACCCCCTCCCTCGCTAGCCACTCCCCTCGCAAAAACCAAAATATGGGTTTGACCCTCAAACCCCAAACTACCCCCAGTCTCTCCAGCCCCCTGCTGATGTCCGCTCCCCACCCCCATCAACACTCAGCAATCTTACGAGTCCTCACACATTTTTTTGCCGACGCCCGGCGTGCCACTTATCCCCACCTCTCTTGTGAATGGCCCCCCACCCCCACCCCTCCAGCCGAAGCCATCCTGTCGGACCACCGCTCCGCGGCGGCGGCCCTGCAGGAGGTGGAGGGCCGCCTGCGCGCGGCGCAGGACGGCGCCGACGCGGCGCGGCGCGCGGCGGAGCGGCTGCGTGCCGAGGAGGAGGCGACGGTGGGTCTGTGGCAGGGCTGGCTATTTTTTCGGGTTCTGGTGGTGGGGTTCAACTCAACTTGCTCTTGGGGTCCTGTGGCATGGGCCTCCTGAGTTGCCAGCAATTCAGATCTTGCGCGCGGAACCGTTTGGCTCAGCAACAACGCCCCTGATGTGAGCGGGCACCCCTCTCCTGACCGCGGCTCCTGGGCAGCTGCCCGCCCAGGGCGGGAGGAGCTGGAAGCCGAGTGTCAACAGACGCCCTTTCCCCCTGGACCGCTCCCATTCTCAACCGAACCGCGGCCGCCCAACCAGGCCCGTTCCTGGTCACCGGTCCACTAGCTGATTGCGATCTAGCCCCCCAGCCTGCTCCACGCCTCCAATGCACTCCAAACCCCCGCAACCCCCGCAGCTGGCCCGCTTGGCGTCAGCGGTAGCGGACGCAGTCCGCGCAGAGGGCGAGGGACGCGCTCTGTCACAGAGGTGCGACGGCGCGCGCACATTCACCAGCTGAAATATCCCATCTTTGAGCACGCGCACATTTGCAGGATGGCGGCGGGGCTAGCACCATCCGCCACATGCATGTGTCGCGTTTGCCCTGCCAAACTTCCAATCTTCCCACCACTAAGCAGCCGCTGGTCACTTGCAACTCACTTATTGGTAACCCATCGACACGGCCGCTGACCACCCCCCCCACACACACACACGCACGCTGAACTCCCTCTCCCCTCCCTAAAAACGATCCAGGGAGGCTGCACTGATGTCAGAGCTGACGTCCCTCGCGGCCGCGCGCCGCGCCGCGCTGCGCGACGTGGCCGCGCTGTCAGCGCGCGCCGAGGGGCTGAGGGGGCGTGCGGGGGCCGAGGAGCGGCGCTCAGAGGCGGCGAGGCGCGAGGCGGAAGGCATGAGGGTGAGTTTTGGCTGTTGTTGTTAGAGAATGCGTGTGTTTTGTTCAAGGGCAGAGGGGGAGGGATCAAGCAGCCCTGTGCGCGGCCTGTATGTAGCGTGGTGATTGCTGTGGGTGGGTGTAGCTTCTTTGACAGTTATATGGGGTGGCAGATGGGCGAGCGGTGTGGTTAGGAACTTGCCACTATTTGGTGCAGCCGGTGCGGGTGAACGCGGTTGGCAGGCCCTTGCGTTTGCAAAGCGCTGTGAGGATTGTACTTGGGCGGACAGTGTTCGGCCAGGGCAGGAGGGGGGGGGTGTTGCCACCCATTGACTGTGTCATCGCAGCGGCCACGAATCTTCACCAGTGTTGGATGATGCGGTCAGACCCCCTTCATATGCATGCGCACACACCTACACCCACTTTCTCCCCCTCTATCTGCCTGCTATCGAAGTTCCACTGATGCCGACCCCGCAAGCCTTGCAGGACCCAGCTTGTGTCCAGCCCTACCCTGGCCCAACCCCGTGTCTCTCTTTCCCTCTCCCCTGATCTGCTGTGCGCGCAGGCCGCCGTCCACAAACTGTCACACATCGCAGCACACGAGGCCGCTCTCCTGCAGGCAGCCATGCCACACGCCGCCGGCGCCGCCGGCATCTCAGCAGCCGCCGCGCCTGCGCCTGCGCCACATTTCGACAGGGCCGAGGGGCCCGGCGCGGCGGGTGCCGCCCTCCACGCCGTGGACCGGACGGCGGGCGCTGCGGCGCCTGCCCCGAGACACGTGGCGTTGGACAGCAGCCGCGCGGCCGTCGGCGCAGAGGGCGTGGAGGGCGTGGCAGAGGGAGAGGCCGAGGGAGCTGCGGCCGCGGCGGCCGCGGAGGGGCCCGCCAGGGAGGCGGGCCAGGCGGTGGGTGGCGGGGTGGAGTGGGTTGGGACTGGTTTTTCCGCCCCAGGCAGCGCCCAGATGCCTGGCTCAGCGCAAGCAGCAGGCAGAGTTTTGGGGTGTCAACGCTAGGCTATTCCTGCTGCACTCCCCACCTCCCGCGGCCGCCGCACTCACGGGTTGCCGTGCCTGAACCCTGAACCCCCTGCCAGGGCGCTCCCTCGCGCGCGCTGGCCCGCCAACCCACGCCGGCGCCCCGGACCACCGTCAGCACCGCGCGCACGCGCACGCCGCCACAACTGCAGCCAACGCCGCCGGCGGAGCGGCGG